AGAAATTTAAGCAAGCGGGAGAGTATGTTATATCAGCTAAATCAAAATACGTTAAGGTGGCAGAGTGCAGAATAAAATAAAATGCAAAATTCAAAAGCTTCGTTAAGTGAAATAATAATTAATATAGTGAAGTAATATAAAAACTACTGTTTAATTCAGAGTATAATTGTAGAGGTATTTCTAGGAAACAATTCACATTTCTTCCACTATACATAAGCAATGAAAAGAAATTGGAATTATAAAATTGTGAGAAGTTATACTTTGGACTTTTTATTGGGGAAAGAAGAGCAAAAGTATGCAAATCAATGAGTTGTATTTAATACACTTAATAAATAAATTTTTAAAATGTCGCCAAGTTTTGTTGCTATGTCGTTGAAATATTTCTTCCTGGGTTAAAAAACCTTAACCTTTTGCTGACAATAAACGAGTCTCGGTATCAATGCTGGATTAACTAAATAGACAAATAAAACAATTTGTATATGGAGTCCATAAAGCAGTGGAATCCAGCTTCAATGAAGGAAAATAAATAAATGAGATATAAATAATAATGGTTTAAAATAGTTAAAGAACGTTTCATAAAATATTAATGTCATTGTGCATGAACTTTTGACTATACAGTGCCATCATAATAATAGATAAGTAATAAAATCGGATTTGGAGCTATATACAATACCAGTTTACATTTTGTTTACCTATGTACACGGGATAATTCTAAATATTAATACTGTACATGCATATTCAATGTTCAGTACTCATACATTTGCAACAAGTGAAGTAGTCACTTTTTTCCTCATTTATTTTAGTTTTATCGAAATTCTAAGAAATAAAAACTATGACGTATAAAAATAAGTCAACATTTTCAAATTTTCCAAACGAAATGTAAAGCAGGAAAAACAAGATGCATTGTTTACATACTTTACAAAAAACATACAAACACACACAAAAATATGAAAATCTGGATCGTATAACAAAATAGAGAGTATAAAAAAAGAAACAGAAATGAAGACGAACAAACAAACGGAATGGATTATTTGAATGAAATAGCAGAAATATCAACAAGCTTATGCTGAACACATTTAATAAAAGCAATTCGTAAAGGATATAGTGAAATATGAAGTGCCTACTTCAAAATGAAGGACAAAATCTTTCACTTTAAGCCGAAGCAAAATACATTGAGGAAGAAATATGAAAACTAAAAGCTTGTTCTGAGAGCTGTTATTTAGAACAAATTATTGATGAATATAAATTTATTCAGTAGCATCAATGAATTTTCAAATAAGGAAAACGAAGCTGAAGGAAATGTAGATTAGCATACGACAGAAGGAAAAGAAAGGAATAGAAAATTTTCCAGAATTGTAATACACCTATGTGGCCATTCACTTCCAATATACCAGGTTTCATAATTTAAAAAAATCCCATTCAAACTTTAGTAAATATTTCGAAGGTAACTGTTACAGATCTGAAACGAAAATTACCGGACCTTAAAAAAAATGATGCGGCTTAATATTAAAAAGCCAATGGTGAAACCAAACTGAAAGATAATGGTTGGTAAAAGTGTAATTTACACACTGTTATGTGGTACTATGCAGTTCAAGCACACTTCTTACGATCAGCTAAAAATGCCAAGCATATTTAAAAAATATCAACACTTGCTTCCTGACCAACAACTTCAAATTAAGCCCTGTTTTAAATTTGAAAAGACTTAGGTCAACTAGTTCAACCACCACGTTACAAGATACAGCAAATGTAATGCCAATTAACTGTCTACAAAAATATGTCGTCCTTTCCAAAAGTTATTACTGGAGATCTTTTTTACATTGAAGATCTTATTTACATTAAGATGTAGAATTACGAACCTTTGCAAATTGGCCACCAAATTTCGTCCTACTTTCGGTAAATAAACAGTCGCCTCAAAATTCAATAATGATCTTGATAAATTTATTATTTTAGTAGTAATAGATCCAATTTACCCACTACAACTTTCTTGAATGAAAGCTGAACTAATAAAGAATTTCAACTTTGCTTTTAGGTCACCTAATTTAAATCTTGCCACAGTAAAAAGCACTAGAAAATCTTATTCAAAAACTGCAAGATAACTTATCATCACTAAGATTGACAAAGCCAGCAACAATTTTAGTGTTATTGAAAAATGTTACTTCAACCTTCTGCGTAAGAAATTAAATAACACCTGCACTTACCAAAAATTACTACCAGCACTAAGATTCTTCTCAATAAATTTAACGCACTACAGAAAGACTTAAAATACCTCCCGGAAATTAAAACAGGTTTGCCAATTTCTATGCACTACCAAAATTTCATAAGTCTCCGATAAATTCAGGTTCATAGCTAATAGTACCAGAAGTTATCTTAGAAATAGATTATTTTTGCAAAAAAACTTCGCCTAATACTGACCTAATTAATAAAACTATGATTTAAGGATCGCATTGCAAATGGATGATTGCAAGTAACGAATAGTTCTGAAAACTGTAATTCACTTAAAATAGACCATATCCATGCTACGACTTTGAAAACCTCTATATTACCTCTTGAAGAAATTTTACAAGCTTACTTGCTCTTCCATATTTATTTTCGCTAATTTCTACAATAATAAGCAACGAAAAATGGCAACTTTTTCTCTCAAGCGTGCTTTTCAACAATTTTATTCAAATTAACAATAGCATCTTTAAACAAATACAGTGAATTCCAGTAGGAGGTAATTTTTCAAGTTCTGTCTGTGAATTATTCCTTTTTACAAAAGAATTGACCTTTGTGCGTTCACTCAGTATAGAAGAACATAAATTTTACCAACACGTCTATCGATATATTGATGATGTTATTACATTTAACAAGTACAACAAAATAGAAGTTGCTAATATCTACCCTACATGCTTGAAACTAAATAATACAAATACTGTGCAACATAATGAAGTCTACCTTGATTTACATATTATTGATTACAATTTTATAAAGTTTCGACAAATAGAAGAGAATTTAATTTTCAACACTAAAATTAACCAACTGGAATTCAAATATTTCCAAAAGAGTCATCCTTAAACACATTTTTCACAGCTACTCAGAATAAAAAGAATCTGCAAACAACAAAACAATTCAAGACAAATACTATACTTCATAATTTTTGAAAATAACCTAATTCCTAAAAAAAATAATTAAAATACATTGAAAAAAGCTGGCATTAGCCTTACCAATTTTTAGATTTTTTGAGTTAGATAGTGATATTTTATACTTAAAGATCAATGGGATGGTATAAAGTGGATGGCTGATTCTGAGAGAATCTAATATAAAAATGTACAGATAATTCTTGTCAGTACATTTTCTTTCCTCCAAAATTTTGGCACAATACTTTTAATACTATTGTTTAAATAGTTTTAAATCACTTTGTTGGCCAATTATACTACTTTTATTAACAAATCGGGCCTTTTCGTTTTTCATTGTAGCTTGATTGCCCTCTAGCTTGAAGAATTACGACTTTAATTAGCAAATGACTGTTTTTTCCATTTTACTCTTACTTTTGTGGCCATGTTAGGTAATTTTAGCTGAATTAGCCATTTTTACTTTTAGAAACAGCTTTATTCTCCAAACAACTTGACTGACGCCATTTTGAAATCTTTCCACGTCTTTCCGAGTCTTCCGAACCCCCCCTTTTGAATACTAGGGACGAGTTCCCGCCAACGGACAGTCTAATCACATTGGCTGTTGCCCTGTGACATTCTTCCCCCTACTTACGTCACACGACGAGTGGGAGAGCGTTGAAGGACACAGAGGGGAATTACAATATCTTTTCAGCTTTGTTTCATGATGGAGAAGACTGCATAGCCACAGGTCTGCTTTTTATGTTTCTTTTATATAAAAATATTTTCTTGGTCTTAGCAAGACCCAATGTGTTTGTTTTCATTTAAACTTAATTTTCGATTTCTAAAATTTATCAAGGTTTAATTATGTAAGCTTGCACGTCCAGCCCGTCCAAGCCCGTAAGTTATTGCATATTTTGACTAATAGCAGACCGCTATTTATTTTTATCTTAATTATTGCTGTACATCGTAATTGCATTACATCTTTTAACACCTTAATGTGTCATTTTGTGCGGACGCGACGGGAAATTGGAACAGAGAATTGAGACTAAATTTTTTTTAAGACAATTCATCTAATTAATTAAAAATTTTGTAACGCAAAAGTTTCAATTGTCTGTTTCGGCGAAACGCGTAATGGAGTTAGCTTGGTTCGACGTTTAACTAGAAATTTCCCTTAAAAAGCCGGGTTGGACTTCGAATTGAGCTAATTTACCATTTTCCGCTTTATATTTTTATATGTTTTTGTTTGTTTTATTTGTTTTAACTTGTTCCATCGATTGGTTTTTTTATATGTTTTAACTTAGTCACATCGATAGGTATTTTACTGTATTTTTTGCCATTACTAGTTTCCGACGATTAGTGTTTTACTGTGTTTAATATATTTTACATTCTTTTTCGCGTGTAGCCTAACTTTTCACCCTTCAATGACATTGTTTTTTTAAAAAATGTGTTGAACTTTTTCTTGGAGCCACAGCTCCTGGTAACTTTTTGGCGAGCTATCTACAATTTCTCATTTCTTTAATTTTGCAGCATATTGCGCAAAAAGTTTTTTTAGACCAAATTGGTCTTTCAGTATTGTACTTACTACCTAGCTTGTTAATTATATATATATATATGCATGGTTTCCAATCGATCCATTATATATATTCTTTATCGCCTGAAACCCAAGTAAATATTTTCCTCATTTTTAATCCGGGTATTTCCTCTTTAGTCTAAAAAAATTAATATTTCTTGACTACGTTATTTCTAGATTAATCTATGCCACAGCTTGCGTAACGCTCATGACGTAGTTAATTCGGAACCTAAACTCGGAGAACTGAAATATTTCTAACCTAAACCAAAACCTTTTTCTTAACAGACTGCCATATCGGATAAATGCGCACTTCGCTTGTACCTCTGTTGCTACTTAGACGTTATTTCGCTCAGTGTTTTTAAAGTTATGTATTATTTTGCAATTTTTTTAAATTTATTAACTAATTTTCATCCTTGTGCGTAATTTAATTTTCGTCCTGGTTAGCTCGTACACAGGCTGTTTTATTTATTTACTTCTTTCGTTGCACGAAATCTCTGATGACGATGCAGGGAAAGATGTAAGCACCATTTTTCATTTTTGTTTTTTGGTATGTTTTGCCCCCGCCCCAGTTTCTTGAGGTTTTATCATTGTATTTTTGTATTTTGGTTTATTTATAACTAAATGGATTTTAACCGTATTTCTTTTAATATTTTTTTGCATTATTACCACCACTTTTTTCTACTCAGGGCACAACTGGGTTAAGTTTTAACAATTTCTTACTTTTATTTATTTCTTTATATGTATTATGTAGTTCCTTCTTTAAAATCATATATAAATTGACAAATAGTAATACGCTATTTATTTTATTCTGTATATTTGCTTAACCAATCTAGTTTGTATAGTTTTTTCTAACACCATTAATGTGTTTCTCATTTACTTTTAACCAGCGGACGCGTCGGAAAATGAAACAGAAAAATTGAGACTTCAGTTTTATTAGGTAATTTTATCGGTTTAGGCTGCCTTCTTTATTCCTTACAAGTGAAAATTTCTGCTAGCTTTTAATATATTTGATTTCGGTTTGGATGTATATTGTAAGAAAAAGAATCAAGGTACAAAATGAGAGATTCATTTTTTAATTAAATTCAAGAAAATACTACTTATTCATGACATTTTGAGGAACTATGAAATTTCAGGGCTAAAATCGTAACGCTCGGAGGGTTAATAGTCAAAACGTTTTTTCGTGTTCAGTCTCAATTCTTCATGTTTTGACGAAACGCTTTATGGAATTAGCTGGATTCAAAGCTCATTGGGCATTTCGCTTGAAAAGTCCATAATGAGATTCGAATTGGGCTAATTTACCATTTACCGCTTCTGAGTAATTTTGCTAATGTTTTAAATATTTTTTTTGTTTATTTTAAAATGCTTTAGGATTGTTTAAACTTTCATCAACACTTTTTAACATTCAAATTTGATTTGAATTTTGCATTCATTTTTTATTTGTCAGTTTTCTTGTTAAGAATTTCATACTTCTTGCATTTAAACTTTTGTTAATTGCAATTTAATATATAATATATATATATATATATAACACCATAATGTCAGGAAAATAATTTAAAGCAAATTGAATCTGATATTTATTTAAAATTTGTCTATGAGCTCCTTGAAAAGTAGCTGGGGAGTTTTTCCAACTAAAAGGTAATCTAGTAAATTCATACAGACTCAAAAGTTGTAGTAAATGCCAATTTCTCGGTACCTTTTTCATTTAATTTTATATGCCAATAACCTGATGCTAAGTCTAACACCGAAAACTGCTTTGCATTCGTTAACCGATCTAATACAGCATCAATTCTAGGTATGGACTCGAAATCTATTGGGGTTTCCCCGCACAGGTTCCAATCCTGGCGATTTTCTCTTAACAGACTGCGCCATGTCAAGCCAATGTACTTAGAAGTTTATCATATTTAATTGCGATTGAATAAGTGCCTGCCAAAGTAATTGTATATGTGTGAAAGTAAAGATTGGAAATTTGTCGAAATTCAGTTTTGTTGCCGTTGGTACATAACCAAGTTCAGCTAATTACTATCTTTATTTCCTGGCACATTAGAATAATCTTTCGTAGATAATATACTTTTGATTAGATTAGCTCTACTTATACCTCTGTCTTGGTATAAATAATCTTGGCACAAAAAACTGCTTCATTCCTATACTAGCTTCGCCACTCCTTATGCATCCCCATCGCTTCACTTCTTAACCGATTACGTCATGTTCTTTTAAAAAGCCAATGTACGTAGAAATTTATCATATTTAATTATAGTTGAAAGTAAAAAAAAATCTGTCAAAGTAATTGCATATGTGTGCTTTTAAAATAATTTGCGACCTCGAAATTAACATTCTAGATTTGGTGATCTCCCTTTAAATTCATCTGTTCTCCCAAATTCGAGAATCTTCTACCAATTTTACATAACTATTTAATTGTTTTAGTCACAAAAAGATCTCCTGATACTGACATTAAACTTGTATTATGATAATTTTTAATAAGTTTAATTTTTGCATTATTAGAATTTAAAACATTTTTAGAAATTTTATTTACCTGGGCCCATGTGTCGATAATCACAGGGAATTTTTTTATTGATTTTTACCTTAATCATGAAGTGTATCAAGTCTAACGCATGATAAGTAAAGGTATTCAATTAAATAAACTTTTTCAGAAGAGTTTTGCATATCAAAATAATCTTAAGTGCTAAAATATTTGATAATTTTGAAGAAAATAATGAAACTGCTGATGATCAATTTTAAAAATTATTAAGTAACTATAATTATATATTTGCTAAAAACAAACATAATGTGAGTTTTATTAATATGGAACCTCCAAGAGTGATTTTAACTTCAGAATCACCTACTGCTTTGTGACCATATCGAACATCTACTCAAGATAGCAGTGAAATTAAAAAGCAAATAGATGAACTGATAAATCAATAAGAAGTATTTATTTAATTATTAATAAAATTGAGTATTGTATTTCTATATGAAAGTTGACAACTCAATCTGTATTATAATGGAAATATTTTCATAAACAAAAATGTGAAAGATTTTTTAGTGAACATTTACTTTATGAAAAACATTTGAACATTTACTTTATGAAAAACATTTGAACATTTACTTAGAGAGACTTTTAGTGAACTTCTACCTTATGAAAGTATTTGAACATTTACCTGGTACTTTTAAAATTATATTTGCCGTGATTTTTGTCTTAAATTATTAGTTAGTTTATTTAGAAACTATAATGTTATTGTAATAGAGTAAATTATATGTTACGTAATTCATAATCTGTATATGAGAAAGGTCATAAATTAAAGGACATGTCCTTGATGTTTCTTCATATAATAAACTTTCTCTTGCTTCACTAATTCAATAATGCTTTTCTGCCATTCTAATCTCCCGACCTTTCTTTGAAAGGGGCAATATTTAAGATATAAGAAAATACGATAACTGCTTTAAAAATAAAAGTAGAGGTAATCTGTGCTTGGTTAATTTGAGGTTAATTTGAGGCTAATCTGTTATTGGTTAGTTTGAGGTTGTTACATAACACACAAGATTCTCGAATTTAGGTGGAGATCACCAAATCTAGAATTTTAATTTTGAGGTCGCCAATTATTTTTAAAGCAGCTATTGTATTTTGTTATACCTTACCCTCAACTTCGCGTCAGCTGGGTTTTGTTTACTTTATATCGTCTGCTCGTATATCTAAACGAATCACTAGAACCAGAAAGTACTTCACGAACATAAGGTCAATAATGTATATGTTCAAATAAGCTAACTGTAGTGGACATGAAGTGCCATATGGTGATTTAAAAAAATTTTGAAAGAACGTGTATATGTTAAATTGGATTTATGACACACCACCTCTGGAAGATCAATGCAAAAGGTTATCCATCTCTGCAATGTGATGAGAACTGTGTTTACTGTTTCGTCTTTTTCTCTGGTTACGCGCTGAAAATTTTAAGTGATTAATTCTGCTACATTTCAATAGATTGATGTTTTCTTTTTTGAAGGAGCTTTCTTCGCTAAATTGTTACGTCCATCTCAACACAGAGGCGAAGCTAATAAAAGAATGACGTAGTGTGTTGTGCCAAGAGTATTTATACAAAGTCTGAGGTATAAGTAGAGCTAATCTGTTATTGGTTAGTTTGAGGTTGTTACATAACATAGAAGATTCTCGAATTTTGGAGAACAGATGAATTTAGAGGCAGATCACCAAATCCAGAATATTTATTTTGAGGTCGCCAATTATTTTTAAAGAAGCTATAGTATTTTGTTATATCTTACATATTCCCCTTTCCCTTTAAAAGAAAGGTCGGGAGATCAGAGTGGCAGAAGATCATTAGTGAAGCAAGGGAAAGTTCATGAAGAAAGACATGAGGAAGCATCAAGGACATAGCCTGCTGGTTTTCCTATGCCCCTTCATGATTCATTACCTTTCTCATATACAGATTATGAATTACGTAACATCTAATTTACACTATTACAATAACATTATAATTTCTAAATAAACTAATTAATAAATTAAGACAAAAAGAAAATACGATAATGTCAGGAAAATAATTTAAATCAAATTGAATATGATGCTTATTTAAAATTTGTCTAAGAGCTCTTTGGAAAACAGCTGGGGAATTTTTCCAACCAAACGATAGTCTAGTAAATTCATACAGACCAAAATTTGTAGAAAATGCCAATTTTTTAGTATCCTTTTCATTTAATTTTTATGCCAATAACCTGATGCTAAGCACAATGTGGAAAAACCTTTTGCATTCATTAACTGATCTAATACAGCATCAGTTCTAGGTATGGATTCGGAATGAGTTTTGGTAATTTGGTTAAGTTTTCGGTAGTGAATATACAATCTATTTTTTGCCTGTTCATCTCTCTTATAAGCTAAATTCACAAGTGCAGCATAAGGAATATAGGAAGGTTTTATGATGCCAAAAGCATTTAACAGTTCACCTATTTGCTTTTTAATTTCACTATTACCTCTAGGGGATGCTGTGTATGGTCGAGAACCTATAGGTAATTATAAAGTTAAAATTAGTCGTGGAGGTTCCATATTAATACGACCTATATAATATTTGTTTTCAGCAAACATATGATTTAGTTACTTGATAATTTTTGCAACTGATCATTATCAAATTCCCTATTTTCAGCATAATTATAAAAGGTTTTAGTACTTACAGTATTTTGACATACAAAATTATTTTGGAAAAGTGCATTTAATTAAATACCTTTACTTATCATGCCTTTAAATTGATACACTTGATAATTATTAAAATTTAATTGTTAAATAAGGAAACAAAAGATGATGATAATAATAAGCAAGTTAAATTAGAATTCACAACACAAAATACTGAAGTATTACTTATTTTACCACTTTTGCATAACAATTTCATTATTTTAGTCACAAGAAGAATTTTTAGTCTGAAGAAAAACACGAATTTTGGATTTACAAACTCAGTGATATCAAATCGGGCATTGACAACACTGTACAGAAAAACAAATTATCTCCAGCGATCGAGACTGTCTATC